AAGGAAGATGTAGATTATTCTGAGGTCCAAGAGGAGTTCAGCAAAGATGATCAAAAAGAGGTTGAAGAAATGTGCAGCTCTTCCATTTAAAATATGTAAATCTAGGAGAAGACATGGTAGTAACTACCAAAGAAATAAAAATTCATAGCAAGATGATAAGCTTTTCTCCTTGTCCACTTGTTGAGACAAATAACAGGGAATGGAATAGATTTAACTTAAGAAAAAGTTAGGCCCTAAGAAAGCATTGACAGCACAAATAGTAAAACCCTGGAATCAGTTGTCTGAGACGTGGTGTCTCTACCACTAGGGTTTTTAAGGACAAATCAAACATCTGTCATGGGTACTTAGGTCTAATTGATTCTGCTGTGGAACAGAGAGATGGACTAAGATGACCCCTTGGGATCACTTCCAACATTCTTTTCTCTGGGTTTTTTTTTCCCCCCTCTGGATATGTTGAATTATTAAATGCTGCTTTGATAGATTATTGATTAATATATAGTTTCATTAAAGAATGACATCAAAACTGCAACTGAAAATCTCCTTAAAAAAGAACAAGAATTAAACCTAAGCAGGCTAACCTTGGAAGAAACCCAGAGAGAAACAGAAGAGAAGTATACAAGATACAAAGAACTGAAGAAGTCATTTTTAGGCAAGTATCAAGTAGCTCCTCTACATAGTGGGGCTTTCTCTTTCTCTCCCCAAAATGGCGAGCCATAGCCCTTTGTCTGCCTATGGCTCAGGTGAACTATGAAACACGTATAAATCGAGCTCTTTGCAACAACTGGAATCTGTAGACATGGCCGTAACACAAATATAAAGCATTTTTTTAAAAAATGCCAGAGCAGTTAAACAAGTCACTTACTGAGAGAACATAGTTTTATTTATAACAGCTTAAGTCATTAAAGTTCAGTCATTACGCTGTCTAAAAACCCTTTCTCTGCTTTGTAGAAAAGAAAGATGAAGAGGTACGAGTCAAAAGAGCCATCCAGCAGTCCATCAAAACTACTGGGAAGCTCAAGGAGGACACGGTAATAACTTAAAACTTAGCTGTAGTACTTCTGCGAAGTTTCCACCACCAGCTTTATTTCCTCCCGGTAGAGACCAGGCACCCATGGAGACTGGGACTCGGGCCACATCTCACTCTCTGTTGCTGTGCTCCCGCCCGGGGGATGCCTCAGACCTCAGCTCAGCCTGTAACCCAGCATTTGTATCAAGCTGCCCTTGTGCTTGGTTTTCCATTCCTTAAGCATGTGAGCAAGTCAAAAAGAAGCTAGTGGTCTAAGGGCATTTGTGAACCCGCTTCTGTTCAGATGCTTGCTACTGCTAGGGCAGGAATTTCTGCCACTTCACTAACTCGTGTTTGAAAAATGTCTTCCTGTATCCTTGTCTCTCTACCTGTATTTCTCATTTCTGACTTCAGACATTCATTCAGCAGCAGTGTGAGCAGAGAGAAACTTGTATAGCTGTGGGGGTAGTTGCAGCAGCTCAAAATGTCTGAGGCTCCCAGCCGGAGCGTCCCTGCAGAGCTCACGCTGACTCCACCTGACAGCCACCCTCAGACCTGCTACAGCTGAGGAGTCTGAGTGTGGGAGCCACAGTGCGTATCAGACCTGCTGTGCATACACAAGCAGTCCCAGTACGTGCTGGGGCTGTTTGCTTAGGACTGCTGGGCACCAGGCAGCCTGGCCAGAGCTTGCTTCGGCTGGGCTGTACATCCCAGGCAAACAATCAGATGGCTTCTGCTTTCTGTTTCTCTGCAAGAACAAAACTTTTAAGTGGAAGAGGATCACAGTCACACCTTCGGCTGTTAATAGGGAGAATTAAAGTGGCTTTAGTTTCTGAGAAGCGTAACACAAGCCCAATAAACTACGTAAAGGGCTCTTACAAGGCTGGTCAGATTGCAGGATTCTTACCCCAGTGGTCTCGTAACGGGCAAAGCTCTCTGATGAGCTCCACAGAAACCACATCAACACAGAAATCGTCTCTGTTCAGAAAAGGGAGACCTGTTTCTCCAACCACTTTAGAATAGGAATAGCACAACAAAACAGTTGTGTACACCTGAGCCTCCAAGGGACAGAAGACGTGATGCTGTCAGAGCTAATTCCTTTCTTGTGGACCATAAGCAATCGCTTCCCCACTCTGTATCTCTTCCTCCCTGTTGGTAAGAGGCCAAAGACACCTCTCTCAGATGGTACTTTGAAATGTTTAAATGAAAGCTGCCACATAACAAAATCTCTTTTCACTTTAATTATAAAAATCCTATGTAAAGATCAGTTAGCAGTGAAGAGTTTATTATTAACAGGTGGAGCTGAGGAAGAAATTGCGGATCAAACGTGATGCTGCAATTGGACAGATGAAAAATCATACAGAGAGTATGAAGCTGCTGGAACGAGACATCTATGAGATCAACAGGAAACTGGACATTGTGAACACCGAGAACTGCCGATTCAAATTAGTGAGTATATTGAAGCTTGACAGTGTTCCTTCTCAGGGTGAAATTCTCTGTTCATTTTTCATTTCACAGAGAACTAGCTGTGGCAGATGACGAAACATAAACATCACAGGGCAAACTTGGCCTTTTAAATGAGTGTGTGGGGCTGTGTTTCATTTGGGAGGAAACAAAGAGGAATATCCGAGGGCAAGGCATCTCCCTGAGGCATCATCAATATCGCATATCTGCCTCATTCCATCAGGGATTGTAGGAAAAGGCCTTGCCTGCCACATGAACGTGAGGTGCAGAACAGGCCTGTGAAACTTAGAATATGTGCTTTTGAAATATTCTGTATACCTTTCAGGCCCTAGGCTATTGGAGTAGTAGAATCTCCTTCCCCATAAAACACATGAAGTAAAAGTGGTCTTATCGCCAGCTGTTACCAGGCTGCCATCTGGACCTGAATCCACGTCTGTGCAGCCACGTGGACGATGTTTCTGAGACGATCTGAACCCTGGGCACTGCTCGGTGCCTGCAAGCGCAGAGCTCTACTGCTGCAAGGGCAGCTGCCTGAATCTGTGTGTGCTAGCGCTGCAGATGCTGGGCACCAGCTACTCTGCAGCTCTATCTGATTATATCCTTATGGGGAAAAAGGTTTCCTTCCGGAAGAAAACTCTTGATTACACTACAAACACCCCTCTCCTTATGTTCAGTTTACTAACAGAAGCTGAGAATTTGATTTTTCTGATGCCTGTATGGCACCAGGGAATGCTGTTTATTCTGCCTGACCTGGGCCACCTAACACGTTGCAGCCAAACCTAGGAGAGGACAAGCTGGGTACTGGTAAAGCTGATCCCCCCTGAATGGGTCCGCCCTATTTTGGGGGAGTGAGTGAGGAAGAGTTTCCCTGTTTGCACCCGGCTGCTCCAGCTGGTCTCAGCATCTTCATCCATTTTATTTGGTAGCACGGACATAGCTGGCTTGTGTTGATTCTGGCAACTGTTAAAATTTGTTCAACGAGATGAAATGGATGCTGCTGTTGAAAGAAAGCGTGTCCAGGGGAATACATTAACCTTTGTATTTCCCTAAGCTAAAACTCAGCTTATTCTTCCTGATCTCTCTAGAAACAGTGAAACCCCTTGCAAATTACTTAGAAAACTGTGGCAAGTATTCTTTTGTAATTCTTTTCTTCACAGTGCAATGCACAGATAAAAGAAGATATTTTTGCAATTGATTCTGAAGCAGAAAACCACAAGTCAGCAACAGTCAAAATCCTGAACGACCTAGCAGTGCTTCATGGTAACCGTTAAAAATGATTTCAAAACAAAAGTGACATTTTTTTAAGAATATCTTTCAGTCCTTATGTCTTTTTTTGGCACAGCAATCTAACTGTTGACTCTTGTAGATCTGTTGCTGCAGGGATGGTCAGAGGAGAGCTTTATTCAAAAGGTGAATTTCAATTTTCTATCATACTGTTTTGCATAAATACATTTCAGTTACCATGTAAAAATTAAAATTTCATATTGCAAATAAAGCACTACAGTTTTTGAAGTCAAGCAGGGGCAAAGGATTAAACCTATGTTTTCCAGCATTGTATAAGTCCTGGCTATATTTTTTTTCCCCAATATTGTTCCTTTTGCTGGTCTTGTATTCAATCCTTAAACCAGTGCAGTCTCCCTGTATCTAACAATGTTGTTGCTGTTCTACATTCAGCTCGTCAGCCTTGTAATGTTTTTCCAGCTGGGGGCAGCCTTCATTCTGAATGGGAATTAAACCAAACTATCACGTAAGAAAGTTTTTCACCAGTTACTCCGTTAGAAAGGCAAACTTTGCTTTTTTATGCAAGGATTGAGTAGTTAACAAAAACTTTCAGCAGAACTACAGGTCTCAAGCTGTGGGAAAACAAGATAAAGTAAGTTTCTTAACTCTGTGTCATTACAGGAATTTCTGGAGAATGAGCAGCAAATACTGAACATGGTGACAGCTCTAACAACAAAAATTCAACGACGAGAGGAAAAGATCGGTGATATTACCAGCAGGCTACAAAATAAGCTGGAAGGACTGACTTCTCTGTTTGACAAAAAATGTAGAATGGATGACAAAAAATCTGGAATGGATGATCACTGTAAGATACACTACGTTTTTCTTTTCTACCTTTTTTATTTTTAAATCACAGAATCTGTTAATTCTTAGCAGTTTGTGATAAAACACAAGTACCGCAGCCGTGTTCTATCTGATCGCTCTGCTGCAGATTGAGACCTAGCGGTGCATTTGTTAGAGCTAAGCATGCTTTATAACACAGCCTGGATATTATTACCTTTAATGCCCACTTTCTAAAGGCTTGTGACAATAACAGCGAGGGGGCTGTGAAATAGTCTGAGCATCACTGATCTTTCCAGAACTCTATGTTTGCTTTTCCACAAAGGATAAAGAAAACTAACAGACCCTCAAGTCCCGCAGCTTGTGGTTGCGTGGTTATTACTGTAGGACTATATGGTTAATTCCTGTTTATGTTCTCCAGAATTTTACATGTGGGCCATTTGTACTGCCGTTTCCATTTAAATGACAATATTCTATACTCTTGTTTTGGGGAGGGCTCATATTGCACAGGGGCCCTAGGTGCATGCGGATTACTTGCTTCAGGGCCTCCATTTAACCCAAACCTGTAGATATCTTCTTTACTTGCTGGTTCACAGAGGTCTCATTTGTGATGAGTCACGGGTTTGGTCACTGTATGACCATTGCCTTCTTACAGAATGTGGGGTTTTAAACATATTGAAGCTGAAAGGCTGTGGCATACAGGCTGCTTTGAAATCATTGGGTCTGGGTAACGTGACGGGAAACCAGGGAGAGGAATGATGAATTTTTAGAGGAAGGCAATGTCCCTGGAAGGAAGTTAGTTAGGCAGAGAGGGGAAGGATGGTGAACGTAGAGCAGAAGAGAATCCTGCTTCACCTGAAGGCCAGCACTATTTTCTGTGTCAGTTGTGCAGGGCAGGTTTCTTCACAAGGAGCCTGCGCATAAACATTGCTCAGTCATTCAAAACTGCGTGCATTTATTTAGCTGCGTCTACCTAACCCTTTGCTTGCCATTACATGGTGTTATGCTACTGAGAGGAGGTGATTAAAAAAGAGTTTATTAATTTGTATTTTACATTCCAGGCTTTGCTGAAGGCTGAAGCACCGGAGCCCAGCAGGAGGGTCAGTGTTTGGTTGTGCCAGCATGGTCTATGGGGTGCGCTGCCTTCCTGCCAGCTCTGCAACATGATTCTCTAAACCTATCAAAAGATGTGCTCTTTGCTACAGCTGGGAGTTGTTGTTACTTTTCTCTTTAAAAACAAGATACAGGACAACATTTAAACCCAATACACAGAGTCCGTACACGGAACGCACATAAAAGCGCGCAGTCCTCAGTACCGCTCCTTTGCAAACAGCTTTTCCTGCACGGTGTGGCCCTGGCTGCTCGCGTGCCTGCTGCACAGGTACTGATGTGACCGCTGTGCAAATGTAGACACAAAACTGTGTTTAGGACATTTTAAAGAAAAATACACCTGTAACTTTTTTTAACACGAGTTTTAAAACCATACTTGTAGAACTGTCATCTGAATTCATGTGTCTGTAAATTAGTTTGTATGTAGCAGCAGACAGAATTTATTTGGTTTCCCTAAGGAGATCAATTACTTCCTTAATCTCTAAATAAATTCTTCTGCATGCAAAACCTAGTTTGTTTGCACACTGTTTTTAAAAGCAGTGAACCTGTCACTTGGCATTTCACAGAAAAAAGCTGTTGGAAAGGTGATTCAGGTATAAAGAAATCCAACCTTTTATGGAGAAAGAGGAGAGTGCTGCCTCAAGGCAGCCTGGCTCCAAGTCTGAGCTGTTGGCAGGCTCTGTCCTTAGCAGTGTTGATAGGTGATTGATAGAATAAAAAAGGCATTACTGTCATGGTTAAACATAGCAATACACACTGCTATTTGCACTGCTACAGCCAATGATCCATACAGTAGGAAGAGTTTAATTTGCGAAGATCTTCCTGTTACTCTTCCTTCTGTGTTTAGACCTTTAGCACTGCTCTGCATCTTCTAGACCCTCTGTAGCACTGCGTCGCTGATGAGGAACGTGCAGGATGCACACTTTGGGTATCTTCCTGTACAGCACAGCGAGAGGACTAGAGTCTGGCAGTGGATAGTTGGCTTCAGCAAGGCCACAACCTCACTTCTGAACAACCTCGGATGTTTTAGCAATTCTTACTGAGGTGTTCACATAAAGAAAGACTTTGATGACGGTAGAGCAGAGATAATGGCATCATCTCTTGAAGAAGATAAGGCATCATCTCCAGGTCTTTTTATTATACCTGTGCTGGTTTTGTTCTTCAGTCATTCCAGCAGTTCCTATCATCGCAGTGCTGATACCGCATAAAGAGCTGTTCCTTTCCCAGCCGCCAAACTCCACGCCTGTTGCTGTAGTACAGGTACAGCTGCGGCCACGCAGCAAGAGATGCGAGCTGTTGGCACCGCTGACAGGCGGAGGCAACGGGCACAAGCACTCTCACAGGAGGAAGCTACAGGGGCTGTGCTGAAAAGTGCAGAGGTGGCTACACCCATGCGTGGTCAACAGATGCTTCCCAGGCTCCCCCCCAGCAAGGGGCTTGCTGACAGCTGCCAAGAAAAGAAAATCTTTAATCTCATCTTAGATGGAAAACTGCAGTCAAAGTGTAAGAAAATGGATTTGGTGGGAAGGGTACTACTGTTGAATCATCTCCAGGAAGAGGTCTCTGTACATGAAGTATACAGAGCATAAACTGTCATTTATAGAGAACTTCACAGTGCATTTCCTCTCCCTCTTCCTAGCAGACTGCAGCAGCACGAGGAATAAATGAGGAGATGCTCAACGTATTTTATTTTTTGGTGGAAGGAAGATGAAGCCTATCTCCACTGCTGGGGGATAGAAGCCAAAGTATAGGATGAGAAAACCAACCTCTATGGTGTATTCAAGCTCTATTTGTTTTATTGGAAGTCTATTGAAAACCAGGCTCTATTGTTTTATTCAAACACTACCTACGATATTGTAGTACGGAATAAACATATAGAAGCAAACCACTGTACTGAACGTGTCACAAGCTTTTTATACAGGTTCACAGTGATAAATAGATACAAAGACACCCCCTTCGATCTACACCAGATACTTACAAAGAATGCAAAGTGCAGCTTTTTAATAGCACACGGTCTCACTCAGGGGTGTTTCACTGAGAAGGCTTGCACATCAATAACTTCTTTCAAAACAGAAGTTTCCAAAGCGTAACAAGCACTAAAACTGCTTAATCCAGATCATTAGATCAGCATTGTTGGCATGGGCTCCTTTTAATGTCCATTTCCACCTTCGGAGAGTATGCGTGACGGCTCGGTGTACTTCGCTGTCAGCAAGTAGAAGAGGGCAGGCGCAGGTACCAAGGCAAGCAGCGGGAGGTCCTGCTCAAGCTTATCCAGTTTGGAAATGGAGATGATTCCATAGGCATGAAGTAACCAGTGGCTGAAGAGGACAACGAGCCTTTTCTTCCTGACAAGAAGGTCCTTGAAAGACTTGCAAAACAAACACAGTAACCTGTTAGCGTTCAGCCCCTTACGTAGTACCCGATGTTCAAGAGACGTTATAGGTCGTGCACAGAGACCGTATGAAGCCTCCCAGTCTGAGCCCTTCCAGCACAGAACGCTGTTTCTCAGCGCCTCACGTGAGGGAAGCCTCGCAGGAGCTTCCTCCAGCTAAGAGGAGTTGGAAAGGAGGAGGCTTAAACGCAGCATACGCTGCTGAGAAAAGGCAAGAGCCAAAGCAGTCTCTGCTCATACAAGTATTCTGCATTGTGAGTTTTAAGGTAGGAAACACGTTTACCTACCTCCACTTCAGAAGCAGACATGTACACAGCCAGCGTAACCAAAGACAACACCAGTATGATGTAAGGGAAGGCATAATCTAAAGGCAATCATTGAACACATTAGCAGGAAGAAGAATGAATTATAAACATTTCAGCAGAGACAGTTTTTCCACATACAACCATGGGTGCAACATAACCTACGCTACCACAGCCCACCTCTTATCACCAGACCAAACACGCACAGCGGTAAGGTCAGCCAAGCACAACTATTCAACGCTTCCATCTTAGGTTTTCAAACTTTTTCTAATATTTCTAGGTGGAGTTCCTGTACACTTAGCTCACTAACTGAAAGAGGCAGATAAGAAAAAAGCAGGCTGAGCGGGGATTTTGTGGCACCTGTCCCCTTCATGAGACAAGTACGCTGGAAGCCAAACCAAAACGAGCTGCTCTCCCCAAACTTACTCTTCCATCCATCTCTGAAATCAGACAAACTCTACTTCAGCAGAAAGCGGAATTTCCTCTCATACCCCCTCTATTCCCTTTTTTGGGAAAGGGACAGTCTCTGGCAGCACTGGCAGAGGCAAAGCAGCGTTGGGCAGGAGCCTGGTTAGGACAGGGCTACTACTGAGCAACCCTTTCAGGTATGGCTCCTCACAATAACCTTAAACAACATCCGTCTTCTCAAAGCAAAAAGAGCGTCACGTCCCTTCCCTCCCTCCCGCCAGTCCTTCGTTAGCGTGTGTTTACAGGCACGTTTATTAGTGTTACTAGGAGAGAACTCACAGAGCAGGCCTCCGCCAACGGCCTGAAGCACGGTGAGGATAGGGAAGAAGTACAGTGCTGCATAAATGCTTTTAAATCGATCAGACTTTCCTAAACCACAGGCAATTTTCTTAACCAGAAGAGGCCGAAGTAGCATCATTAACACAAGACAGAAGGCGTAATATATAAACACGATGGTGTACCTGGGGGGAAATAAAAAAAAAATAAAAACAAATTCCTTAAAATGCACAGTTCTTTTTCTCTTGCAGACTCAACTCGGAACCAGGGAATTTGGGGTTAGAATCAGTCAGGTCAAAAGAATTTCCAATCAAAGGATGCAAACACAGAACGATGGGCTCAATTTTCCCAGGGAAAACAGTCAAGATGCAGCAAAGGGGAACAAAAGTTAAGTAAGTTTTAGGTTTCTCAGCTAAAGAGCCTGGACTGTGCCACCTTCTGCAGTGACTCAGAAAGTCACCAGGTTTGCAAAGTGTTTCACGCATAGAACAGCTCAATGCATGAGAAGACTTCAGGGATTGATGCTCATGGGTCTGTGTTGTATCTGAACATTTTTTGCAGCTTTGAGAAGAGGCACAGGCAGAAACACGCTTGCGTAAAAGAAAGAGACAGACAGGAGGACAAAAGCTGTTACTCACAGGGGGTAGACGGCTTCGTGAGTGCAGTGCACTGTGGTGATGTAGTCAGGACTTGGATTGTAAAGCATCGTGTACCAGTCCGAAAGCTTCTTCACCTTGCAGGAGCGGATATGCAGGGAGCCGACGGGGTCGCTGACCAGCAGCGTAACAATCGCTGCCACACTGCACTCGAACAAGGCAGTGACATGCTGCAACAACGCGCTGGAACTGCGGAAGGAGAAAGAGAGATTTGCTACTATTTTGCTAATGCTAAAGAAAATCTAAACGACGACTGAGAAGTGGAGGCCCATGCAGTACAGAGCCTTCCACAGAGTTAATATTCACCACAACCAAGGATAGGTCAGTGCTGCACGAATAAAAAGTTAGGTATTTGAAGCTGAACGCGTAAACTCATTTGCGGTCTCAGTTGATTCAGCATGTAAAATCTGATTGAACAACATTCCAGCTTCTTCACAGAAAGCTTGCTGTCGCACAAGCATCCTGTCGGGTGAGGGACAGCAACACTCGCGCGGCTGTAGTTTCAAAGAAAGCAGCAGTGAGGATGAGACACCACAGGCCTCAGAAGGGATGACACTGTTACCTATGAGACAAGCAAGATTTTCAAAACTGCCAGTCTGTCGTGGTTTAACCCGGCTGGCAACTCAGCACCACGCAGCCGCTCACTCACTCCCCCCTCCCTCAGTGGGATGGGGGAGAGAATCGGGAAGGAGAAGGAAGGTTAGAGCCGTGGGCTGAGATAAAGACAGTTTAATAAGAGAAAATAATAATAATAGTAATAATGAGAATGATAACAGAATATACAGAATATACAAAACAAATGATGCACAATGCAATTGCTCACCACCCGCCGACCGATGCCCAGCCCGTCCCGAGCCGCGAGCAGTCCCCGAGCCGCGATCAGTCCCCCCACAACCGAATGCCCAGCCCGTCCCGAGCCGTGAGCAGTCCCCCAGCCGCAAGCAGTCCCCCCACAACCGAGCGACCGAATAATGCCCCTGAGCATGACGTTCTATGGTATGGAATAGCCCTTTGGTCAGTTTGGGTTAGCTGTCCTAGCTGTGCTGTGCTCCCAGCTTGTTATGCACCTGGACAAGCAGAAGAAGCTCAAAAAGTCCTGGAGTAGTCTGAGCACTACTTGGCAACAGCTGAAAACATCAGTGTGTTATCAACATTCTTCTGGTACTAAATCCAAAACACAGCACTATGCTAGCTACTATGAAGAAAATTAACTCTATCCCAGCTGAAACCAGGACACAGTCCTTGTTTAAGATGGTATAATATTCATACATCAGACTCTCTCAGCCCCCTGTGTTTTCAGTGTTTGGCACAGTCCAGAGTCATCACTTCTTAAAAGTTCCAGTCAAGCATCTAACAGCCACATGCAGCTGTGGCTTTAAACCCCTGTTTTACAGAACTTCCTTGATGCACCATGCTGACATAAAGGTTACATCAACTATGTTATCAGAACCAAAACCCAGCACACATATTCCTAAAGAGAAGACTCAAACCCATTCTCTCGTTGCACGTGCGCAGCACCGCGGATCAGGGCCTCTGGAGGTGGCCCAGGAGAGAGGGGATGACACAACACGCTGCTCCTGCCCACTACCAGGAAACCCAATCCAGCCCAAATTGCCAGATGGACCAGGCACCACCACGTTACAGACATATGGACCAAGTCCTGAGAGCAGTGTCTGGCAAGATGGACCTGCAGGACTCTTACATTTGTAAATGAACCCCCCAGCTCCAGCTGCCCAAAGCAAACGTGCTACCATATCAGCTCAACCAATAGCATGAACTGCCGGACACTTCAATTCAGCATCTCAGATTGATCACTCGTGGATACAAGTTTTCAATTTTTAAGTAACTTTTTAAAAGGAGGGTTGTACGAACCTCTTTTTTCCTGAATACCATTCAATAAAGAACCAGTGTAAAACCAGGGGAAGCATGGCCATGAAGCCAAGGTACAGCCAGTCATAGCGGTCCGGAGATCCCACGCATTCCCGGCAGATTTTATTGTCATCGGTTCTTTGACCTCTAGGGCATACCTACAAAAAGCAGAGACTGGATTTACAAAGCATTCAAGCACTAGTAACAAATCATTGCAGTTCCCAGAAACATAGCTTGAAGCTGTACTGGGGCAAGAACACCTCAAATTTAACCTTAGTGATTTCTCAGCTTACCACTGGCTTTGCTCTCTCTGGCCTTGATCTCTTAACACAAAGGTGAAGCATGTTTAAAAGGCTTCACCCAAGACTCCCTTTTCCTCTCCTGCTGTCACTGCACCCCCCTTTCACCGCCAAGCTCACTTACCGGGCTGCTCACTACCACTGCCCCCCAGAGCTTCTCGCTCCCCGTTCATCCCACCCTCCCTGGACCAACTCTCCCTCAGTACTCCGCTAAGATCAGCGGGCAGGGTGATTTCAGCACAGCTCTCCGTACCACCCCGGCCTGTTCCGGCTCTCACAGCCCCTCCGCTCGGCTGCGGTTTAGCACCGAGCCTTCAGCGCCTCCTTCGGGGAACGTGTCATGGAGCAGCTCCTGCTTGCCCGCCCTTTGCAGCCCTCACCCCCACCCGCTCCCCAAGGCACCTCGGGGCTGGGCTGCGGCGCCGCTTACAGCGGGATCCGCCGGCCTCCG